TGATTAGGAACCCATCTAGCCTTGAATAAACTTAACAACCCAACGTCAAGAGCAAAGAATTTCGTAGATTTGTTGTGCTCAGAGAAGAAATTCCACCTTATCTCTTGTCTTAAATGGGTGATCTCTTATTCTGAGATGATATCCTCTAGTCCTAGACTCTCCCACAGTGGGAAACAATCTGTTCGCATCGACCTGGTCAAGTCGGCTGAGAATCTTGTATGCTTCAATAAGGTCACCTCTCATTCTCCTAAACTCCAATGAGGACAAAAGGGCAAACCAGAGACGTGTGACATTATGATGAAAGTTTACAGCACAGCAAGATCCCATTGCATCCATGCTGGTTCTCAGGAGAATCTGTACGCTCAGGTCCATTTCCTTACCCTTTTCCACAGCAATTTAATTTCCTTTCCTCTCTAAGAGGGAACAGATTGGAAAAATCTGTTCCTGTTTTCGATAAAGTGTCCAAAACGTGAGGATGCCCATTTAAAGGTGATTGCCAAAACACAAAGAAAATTATTTTAATGCTGTGAGTGTTTCGGGTCTGGAATGCATTTGGTGAGAACTTGGTGGAGGCAGCTTAAATTGGGCCTTCATGCGTGATTGAGATCATTATCTGAAAGAGAAAAGAAATGGCAGGGCTACTGGGTAAAGATGTCGAAGGTGGGTGAAGGCGAGTTGCAGTTATAGAGAGCCAGCACAGATATAATGGGCTGAAAATCTTCCCTCTGTGCTGTAATTATTCTATAATTCTATATATATCCAGTTCCCTGCAGAAAAAAACCTTTTGATTTTGCTTCCATCACCAACTCTGGCAGGCCATTTTACTTGCCTCTGACCCTCTACACGAGAAAGGTCCTCTCATCTCTCTCTTCGTTCTTTTGATGGTGGTCTGCAATTTTTCAGTCTCTCCAGTTATTGACTCTGCCATCAAAGGAATTAGTTTTTTCCTATTTGCCTCATCAAAAAATGATCATTTTAAACAGAAACACCAAATCTCCCTGTGACTTTCTCTGCTGAATGCAAAAGGTCCAGGCTTTCTCAAGCACTGCTGTTTCTCATCCCTGCTTCTATCTTAGTTAATCACTTCTGCTCCATTCCAAAGCTTCGATATCTTTGTCAAATTTGGCACCTGAAAGTGACACATTATTCTAATTTCAGCTTAATTGATACACGTATAGTCAATACTTCAAGGAGTTTGCAGTTAATGTCCCTATTTATAACAGCAAAAATCTCTTTATAACTTCTTCTTGTTTCTCCATTTTTAAAAATGTGCTAATCAGAATCCGTAAATTATTCTGTACCTCATATATCAGGTAGTAATATATCACATATCCTTCCATAGCTTTTCAATATCCATGCTCTCTCTTTATTCTTACTTCTTTACCCTAACTTTACCCTCAACTTACATTTTTTGACACCACTATGTCACATTGGTGGGGACTGGGTTCTTTTCGATTGCTTTCCCCTCTCATCTGAAGGTGCTGGGGCAGAGTAGCACCATTTCCTACTTGTGCATCCAAACTTACAAAGTACCACATGGAATCTGCAAGGGGTGGATCACTTTATGGAAGGGAAGAGACTCGAAGAATAATACTGCACAGGAAGATGCCATTTGGCCCATGGTGATAGACAGATCTATCCAATTTGTCCCCCTCTCCCGCTACACCCTCACAACCTTGCAAACCTTTCCTCTCCGAGTATTCACCAACTCCCTTTTGACCTTTACAACTGAATCTCTGTCCACCATCCCTTCAGGCAGTGATTTCCAGTTTGCAACAACTTAAATAAAAGAAGTTGTCATCTCCTGTCTGGTTCTTTTGGCGATTAACTTAACTCTGTATCCTCTGGCTATATTGAAACCAAAACATATTCGACTGTTACTGCCAGGAACTTACATGTTAAAAATGGTTTTCCATTAACTTCAGTGTAGGTTTAACAAAAATATTGCCATTTGACATGAAATAATGAAAAATATAGTTTTCTTTCTACATTTTTTTCAATGAACCCATCTGGCTTGTTTTTATCTCTATCTACGGATTGCCTTTCATTCTTATTAGCTTAACTCTGCTCTTTTAACATCTATGACTGGGTCATACCTGAACTGTGACTACCAACTCCATTTAATGGTCAGAACTGTGAAATTAATTAATTTACCTTCATCAAAGATCTTGACTCACTTTGCTCCACTGACAGTCTGTGTGATACTGGCAAATTTTCAATTTGGTTTTGACCCTCACTTTTAGCTGCAGGGGGAATTCGGATCATAGGAGGAAAAGCAGAAATTGCTGGAAAAGCTCAGCATCTGTGGACAGAAAGCAGAGTTAAAGTTTTGGGTCCAGTGACCCTTCCTCAGAACCTCGTGCTCTCCCTTTCTGAGATTTCTGCAGCCCTGGGAGTGCTGGGACATCCATGGTGCTATGAGGGAGGGAGTTCCAGGATTTCGACTCAGTGACACTGAAGGAATGGCTGATGTACTGGAAGCTGTGCAACTGCAACATCACCACTGGTGGGAGGATGTAATGACAGTGTGACAATTTACACAGGAGACGATTACTATAAAAGTGGAAGGGTGTGCCAGTGCAGAACATTCAGTCTTTTATCTGGAAATAGTTGGCTCAAAAAAATGAGGATTCCCCTGAATCTGAGCATTACAATGTTCTAATTTTTGTCAAATTATTTTATAATATCTTGCTTTGTAATTTCCCAGTTGACTGCTGAGTTCCTGTCACTGCTCTTGGTCACTTTGTAAATTGAACTCAGCATTAAGTAGTCCCCATTGAAAGTGAAAAGTGAATAGTGGTCATTTTAAATGATCACAGTCTGGATAGCATTGCTCTTTTCTGTTTGACGGCTCATTGCCCCACTCTGTTCTGCGTGCTGTATAACGACTGTGCAATTTGCTTCAGTTTCTTGCAGGGCTACATCTGTTTTACTGGACCGCAAGATAAACTGCTCAGCATACAACTCATTCAAAGGAAGCTGTGGGGAACAGGTATCTCCTTAATTGCACCAAATGAAAAATACAGTCACAGTAAAGCTGTTTTGTTGCTGGGAATGAAATGCGAAAAGCTGCCATGCAGGTACTCTCTGAGTTTGTAATCCATCACTGTGGTAGGGCTTGTGCTGAAAAACCATTGCCTTGTCTGGATAATTTATTAAAACACAGCTTTGTGATTCTTGGTGGCTGAGGTGATGAATATGCCAGACTTAGCCCTACAGACCAAGGAGCATTTATCCCAGGCTGACAGTGAAGGTGTTAATGTCCTAATCTTAGGGCCCAGGGGAATCAGACAGTGATCAACTCTCAGCGTATGTATATATGTGTATGTACGTGTGAGCACATGTGTATGTGTGCCTGTGTATGTGTGTGCGTGTGCGCATTTGTCTACGTGTGCATGTGTATGTGCACGCCATGTTCACGCATGCCCTTGTGTGTGCCCTAATGTGTTCATAGGTGTGCCCTGTGCATGCATGTGTGCACGTACGTGCGTGCATGCCTGTGTTCTTGAATGTCTGCTGACACTGGGTGAGGATCAATGCCAGTTGAGCCAAACAGCATGCTGTTAGTGAAGAATGAGAATGTAACTGAGGTTGTGGAAGAGTCTTCCAGTTACACCATCAGCTAGCAGCCTTGCAAAGAGTGGAACCAAACATGTAAGTCACTATAGAGATAGTAGGAACTGCCGATGCTGGAAAATCTGCTGGAGAATCTGAAGAAGTGTCTAGGCCTGAAACGTCAGCTTTCCTGCTCCTCTGATGCTGCTTGGCCTGTTGTGTTCATCCAGCTCTACACCTTGTTATGTAAATCACTCTGTCAGGTATACAATCTCTCCATCATCATGTCCTCGGTTGTGTGATGCATGGGGACCCGTCCTCTCACAGCCCCAGGGCTAAGGTTTCAGAGGAAGTTGGGACGAAGTTTTGGCCATTGGACATGCAGGGTGCAAGCCCTAGTATATGGACGTACTCAGGCACTCATGAACCAGGTTTAGGGAAATAGCTCCACTGCTTTGTGGATACCTTGAGAAAGTTGAACACTACTAGAGCAAACCTTGACGAAAAAGCCTGGAGTGGAGGCCAAAGGCATACTGATGGCTAAATATTTCACCTTTCTGGCAAATTCTGCAACCAAGCCGGTGCCAAAAAGAGTGCTCCATATTTCTCTGGATCCAACAGGAAAAGGGACAGCCCAGGAACTCCGCAGACTTTGCCTGGGCTTGTAGCTGAGAGAGAAACTCCAATTTTACTGAACATCGGAGTTAACCACCATGGTGCAAACCATCATGCTGCCAGAACGGTAGAACATGATGGAGCAACATTAGAGTCTAAATTGACTGGATTCCTGGGCCTGTTAGCACTGGCGGATGTGCTGATGGCTTTGCACCTCATGGAAGAGACACAATCTCCGATTTAGAAAATAACTGCAGCGTTTAGACAAAAGTCTTCAGAGGGATGATCATTTAAAAAGTAAATGGCTGAAACTTTGAGAGGCATGAGAGTTGAGATTTAATTGTGAAATACTGAAATAACCAACCTGAAAACTGCCTGAGACACTGCGAATGTTAAATTGGTCTGGGTATTTTTTTCTATTGTCATTGTTCGCTGCCGTCAGATTATCAGTATTTTCTGTGTGAGGACTACGTCTAATCGAGCCTAGACATCTTATGAACTCCTTAGTGTCTTTACAAAGAGCCATAACCCTCAGTTTAACCCACAGTAATCCCAATGTCTTGATTAATAAATCCTCCTTCACCCTATGCTACACATCTAAGCAGTTGGATGTCCTGCCTCTAATGCAATTACCTTTTGGAAAATTTAGAAATAAGCAAGGAGTTCAGAAGGAAAACGTTTTTGCTGAAAGAAGGGAGAATGGCAAATTAATGATGTGGTGAGGAATGCAAAGAGATAAAAAAAAAATGAGGCTTCTAAGTCTATTAGATTCTCATTATCGTTCCACAGCCTATTTTTAGACTGCCACAACGGAGAAGTGTTAACATTACCTCAGATGAATCGTCAAGTTTCAGAGGTGGCTGTTCAGCGACTCGCCGGAGATGTGCTCGAACTTCCTCTTCATCACTTTCATCATACGAGTCATCAAAGTCATAGTAATAACCTAATTAGAAACAGTGGAAGCAAAGTGACAGAATAACTGACAAAGCAGCCTGACAGTGTGCAAATATGCTCTGCTGTGTCAGCACATTCATCCTGCGCTGAGCTGCCCAATTAGTTCATTTCAATCCTTCAATTAACTAACTACATCCAAGTATGCACCTATCTACTTTAAGTATACTCAAAGACGGAGATTCCACAGTCACAGAGTCTTACGGCACAGAAATAGATCCTTCAGTCCAACCAGTCCATGCCGAACATAATCCCCAACTAAACTGGTCCCACCTGCCTGCACTTGGCCCATATCCCTTCAAACATTTCTTATTCATGGACTTATCAAAATGTCTTTTAAATGTTATAACTGTACCTGCATCCGCCACTTCCTCTGGAAGTTCATTCCATACATGAACTAATCTCTGTGTAAAAAATATTGCCCCGCATGTCTTTTTTAAATCTTTCTCTTGTCACTTTAAAAATATACCCCCTAGTCTTGAAATCCCTCATCCAATGGAAAAGACACCGGCCATTCACCTTATCTATACCTCTCATGATTTTATCAACCTCCAAAAGGTCACCTCTCAATCTCCTACACTCCGATTAAAAAAGTCTCAGCCTATCCAGCCTCTCCTTGTAATTCAAACCCTCCATTCCTGGCAACATCATCTGGGGTAGGGAGTTCTGAAAATTCTCCTCCTCTCGGTCCTACATAGCACCTCCCTTATTTTGTAAACTGTGTCCCCTACAAGCAGGGGGATCCCTCTTACCTGCATCGATACCCTCCATCCTTTTAAGTATTTTGCACATTTCAATGAGATTCCCTCTCATTCTCCAAAACTCTAGAGAATACAGGCCCAGTTTATCCAATCTCTCCCCACAGGGCAGTCCCACCATCCTGGAAACAAGGTCTGATGAAGCTTTGTTGCACTTGCCTCTGGCAATAATATATTTCCGGAGATAAGGGGCCCAAAACTGCTCACAGTTTTCCAGGTACAGTCTAACCAAACTTCTATACAATTGCAGCAAGACTTCATTGCTCCTGTACCCAAATCTTCTTGGGAATCCTGATTTCAAAAGTAGATTGTGTTGAGGAAATTGATTCTTTATTAGAGGGTAAGCGCTCAGAGCAGGAGATCCGAAGACCCAGAGCTTTCCAAAGTGGGGCTGGCACCCCAAATTGGGTCTTGAGAGGAAATTCTGGTGTGCCTAGCTCTGAAGGAAGCAAGAGCTACCAGGAAGCTCTGACCAAGTGCACCCGCTCTAACCTGTTCTCACACATCCCTTCTGTACCCTGCTCTCATAGCTCTCACTCGACAATTTTCAATCCTTGACTTGGGGTCACAATGGGAAAGCGTTTGGGAAATACTGCCTTAGATTCTGTGAGCTGGATTCAGCTCAAGTGATTTTCATAGTCATCATTAGATCCTTAATTCCAGATTTTTAGTGAAATCAAATTTAACCATCTGCCGTGGCAGGACTTGAACTCAGGTCCTCAGAACATTACCTAGGTCTCCGGATTAACAGTCCAACGATAATACCACAAGGTCATTGCCTCCCATTATATTTACATACTTAAATGTTACTATTTTGCATATCATACTCAGCATCTTCTAAAGCTTCTGTTGCTTGATGCTCTGCATTAGTTGGACAATAGAGCATTGGGCTTAGTAGAACATGATGATCACGTTCCTTAGCTATTTCAACACCATTCATAAAGCAAGCTGCCTCATCGTCCTTCCTACATATGTTATTTTACTGCATGAAATTATAATCTTAAAGTCACTCCAGTGTATCTGTCGTTACACAAGTTTTTACTTAGTTAAATCATGGGAATGTGAACATCACTGGCTCAGCCAGATTTATTGCCCATCTTTAAACTGTCCAGAGAACAGGGATCACACATCGGCCGCACCACATAATGATGGCAGATATCCTCCCCTAAAGGATATTAGTGAAACCAATGGGTTTTTACAATTGACAGTGGTTACATGGTCACCATTAGCCAAGCTTTTTAATTATAATCAGTTCTGAAGGGTCACTGGACCCAAAATGTTAACTCTGATTTCACTCCGCAAATGCTGCCAGCCCTTGCGAAGATTTTCCAGCAATTTCTGGTTTTGTTTCTGATTTCCAGCATCTGCAGTCCTTTCACTTTTTAAAAAAATTATAGATTTTTATTAAATTGAAATTTCACCAGTTAGCACAGTGAGATTCAAACCCATACCTCCAGTACCTTTGCCTGGGTCTCTGGATGGCAAGTCCAGTGACATTACCACGACAACCCCACCCTCTCTCCCATTTTCTCCTGTTTTGGGGGTTTTTTTTGGTTTCTGGTTAAGTTAAAGCCGCCCTGGTGAGCAATTTCTTGTCTCTATTTTGTAAAAAACGAGAAGAGCTGGGTTCTCTGTCTGGGTTAAGCCAGAGCGTCCCCGGTGGGCAGCTTTTGTTATTTGGTACAAGAAAAGGGCTGGATTCTATTTGAGCATTTGATTGTTAGCACTATGCCCCTGTTGGGTAGTTTTTGTTTAAGTTGGCTTATTTAAGTTGGCTTATTTTAGAAAAAGGAGCTGGATTCCTCCTCTTTGAGGAAGTTGGCTTCTTGTCAGAAAAAGGGAAAGATGGAAACTGTTGTCGTCATATTTACAAGACGATCCTTTCTAAGTCTCTGAAAGTCTGTTGTTGCCTCAATGAACACTTGGATATTGATCTGTTAAACAAGTCAGGCCAGAGAAAAATATTCTGAAGAAGGGTCACTGGACCCAAAACGTTAACTCTGCTTTCTCTCCACAGATGCCGCCAGACCTGCTGAGTTTTCCCAGCAATTTCTGTTTTTGTTCCTGATTTCCAACATGTGCAGTACTTTCAGTTTTTTTCTTTCAGACAAAAATATTGCTATTTATTCACTGGTAACCAGAATAAGTCACCACAAAGTCCAGGCACCTCTGCTGGCTCAGGACCAAGAAGCTACAATGCCACAATGAAACGCTCAAACAATTAAAAGTCCTGGGAGTCAGAGTCCTATAGCACAGAAGAGGCCCTTCGGTCCATTCTACCTATACTAACCCCATCGTTCTTTGCCACGAAGGCTCACCTTTCTCTTTAGCCTCTTTCCGCTTCTTCTCTTCGAGGTCCAGCTTGCTTATCAGCCTTCGGTGGCGCTGCAGGAGTTCATCATAGACATACATAGGCCCTGGGGCTCGTGGGAGGCTCAGGGGCTGTCTATAGGAGGACGTTGACTTGTGCAATAAGCTCATGTCGCTGCACGGCCCAAGATAGGGCATGGACATCCGCTGCTGGTTAAGAATGGACTGGGCAGATTTCTCCAGCTCTGCAAACGGAGGGCCGTAAGAGTGAGAGTGCGAGGCGTGCTCCAGGGAGCCTGGGCCCCGCGATGGCTGATACTTCTCAGGACCGTCACGCCTCTTGGCGCTCTCCTCGTGGCTGTGGATCTTCTCCATCTTGATTGGCGGGCCCACTTGCCGGTGTGTGTCGTAGTGGCCAGCATAGTTGTTCAGCATGTGGTGATCGTGGCTCTTACGGGACTCGGTGTGGTTATCCATCAGGGTCACTGGGTTCCACAGGACGGCTGGGCTGGAATGGTGCTCCTTATGCTGGGGTTTGGGGGAAATGAGTGGGGGCGGAGCTCCTAGCTGCTGGGGTTGCTCTCTGCCACACAGCTCATGGTGACCAGGTCCAGATCTACAAAAGACAGAACAACAACACAAAGAAACAACATCAGCAATATATACACACAGGTCTTTTCTCTGGGTGGAATCCAAAATGTGCTCAAAATCTATTACATTTCTGATTTCTTCAATTCTCACCCATTGAATATTTCCAGCATTTTTCTTTTTATTAAAGGGAGGAACCTGGTGAGGAGGAAGGGTCCATGCAAAGACTGAGAGTGATAATCTGATTATTAAGCCGTATCAGTACATCAGCTACAAGATGCACTGCAGCAATGCACCAAGACTCCTTCAACAACATCTTCCATACCTGCAATCTTTACCATCCAGAAAGACAAGGACATCAAATAGATGGGATCACCACCGCCCACAAGTTCCTCTCCAAGTCACTCACCATTCTGACTTGGAAATGTATCATATAAAAACCAAAAGAACTGCGGATGCTGTAAATCAGGAACAAAAACAAAGTTGCTGGAAAAGTTCAGCAGGTCTGGCAGCATCTGTGAAGCAGAAAACAGAGTTAACGTTTCGGGTCCGGTGACCCTTCCTCAGAACTGATGGTGGCTGGGAAAACGTCAGTTTATATGCAGAAAATAGGGAGGTGGGTGGGGTAGGGAGTAAACGATAGGATAGAGAGCAAAGAGAGAGAAAGACAGTTGAACAGACAAAGGAGTTGCTAACAATCAGGCTGGGAGGGTGAGTAGTTGTTAATGGAGATTGTTAGTGATTAACAACAGCGGGTGTGTAGTGGCAGACAATGTGGTAATAAGGCCTGGTGTGTGAGGTAGTAGGACATGGGAGAGTTTAGGCCCTAAAATTATTGAACTCAACTTGGGGTCCGGAGGGCTGTAGGGTCCCCAAGCTGGAGGAACAACACCTCATTTTCCGCTTGGGGACCCTACAGCCCTCCGGACTCAATATTGAGTTCAATAATTTTAGCAATAATTTTAGGGCCTAAACTGTCCTATGTCCCACCCCTCTAACCCCCACACCAGGCCTTGTTACCACATAGCCTGCCATTACACCCCTGTTGTTAGTCACTAACAGTCCCCATTAACAACTATTCACCCTCCCAGCCTGATCGTTAGTAACTCCTTTGTCTGTCTAACTGTCTCTCTCTCTCTCTTTGGGCCCTATCGTATCGCTTACTCCCTACCCCACCCACCTCCTTATTTTCTGCACATAAACTGACGTTTTCCCAGCCACCATCAGTTCTGAGGAATGGTCACTGGACCCGAAACGTTAACTCTGTTTTCTCCTTCACAGATGCTGCCAGACCTGGAAATATATCACCCTTCCTTCACTGTAGCTAGGTCAAAATCCTGAAGCTCCCTTCCTAACAGCACCGTATGTACACCACATGGACAGTAGCAATTCAAAAAGGCAACTCACCACCACCTTGTCCAGTGCAGTTGGGTATCTGCGGTAAATGGTGGTCACCAGGCTAAGACCACCTACTACCCATGAGCGAATATTTTACAAAGGGGCAGTAATGATGCTGATACCTGAACATTGACAAGTGGTCACCTCAGCTGCCGTGAATAACACCAAAGAACATATCACACATTTGGAAGGTGATCGGCCGCTGTTATCTTTCTCTCAATTGAGACCGAAAACTGAGCAAGTGTTTCCCATGTATCACAAACTTCAAAGAGACTTGCATCAAAAAAAAATCTGACAACTTGGTCTGTGAAAAGCCTGCTTCTCTTCTGGTCTTGAAGTGCACAGCTGGGCGTGCCATAGACTTGGCAAATTCCCTGAAAAATTCACATGGCAACAACTTTATCCAGTTGGCAGTGACTTGTGGAAATTAAAACTAAAAAAAAGAGGATTTGACAGGCAAGCTTTAAAGAACCAAAATGTCGAAAGCTGTGTTGGAAAAAAAGACTTTCAGCAGCTCCGACCCGATGTTAAATAACTGTGGTACAGTGGCTTTGAAGATACTGCGAGTCTCAAAGGCACATCACTACTGTACAACGTTATAACTGATTAGCATAAATGCTGTCTTTTAATTATGGGATTAACCTCATGTCCTTCATAAGTGCCGAAAACAGCCATTTTATGATTCCTCAGGGATGTTGACAACTGACCCTGAATGTTTGGTTTTCTACATATTGTGTGTTAAGGATTCTATATAAATTTAAGTTGTCACTGGTGGGAAGACACAATCTTTATTTTAAGGCATGCTAGGTATTTTCGAACTTCCATTGTTCATTCCCACCACTACCCAGTTATTTAGAATGTATAAGTTAGGTCTGCTGAGATGCAGAGTGCCACTCTAGAGACTGGAGTACACTCCCAGTGCAGTACTGAGGGACTGCAGCACTGTCAGAGCTATTGACTCTGGAATGGCAAAGTTAAACCAAAACCCCACCTGATCTCTCTAGTGGATGGAAATAATCCTTGCGCCACTATCCTGAAGAACAACAGGCAAGTTCTGCCAAGTGTCTAGCCTTCAAACAAAGTCACCAGAATCGTTCATCTGCTCCCTTTCATTTCACTGTTTGCAGGAATTTAAGTGCAATTAGTGCTTTGGGGTGCCCTGAGATTGTCAATAGCACTACATTTAAAAAAAAGTCTCTTTTTTATAAAGGCTACATTTGGTCACCCATTTGCATTGGGGTGGCTGACTCCCAATGCAGGGGCAGCAGGCATGCTGTTGTGGGGCCCTCTTCCTGCTAAACGACCAACAGCCCAATGCTGGTAAGTGCAAGGACATTCGAGCATCAGGTGAGATCTTGTTTGTGATGCCCAGCTTGCCAGCACCCACCATTTTGGCTCACACATTGGAAAGGGACGCTAGATACCATGGGCTGTGTCTGTGGAATGAGACCAGAAAGGATCAGCGACTGAGGGACAGAGATAGATGGGGAGGGAGTATGGAGGAATAACAGGGGGACAAAAAAAAGAGAAAATTAGATTAAAATAAACAAACAGCAATTAGGGTTGGGTGGTAAATGTTGGCCTAGCCAGTGATGCTCACATCCCATGAATGAATTTTAGAAAACTTTATTTGAATCATAGTGGCAAGGCAACATGGTGGCTCAGTGGTTAGCACTGCTGCCTCACAGTGCCAGGGACCTGGGTTTGATTCCACCCTCGGCCAACCGTCTGTGTGGAGTTTGCACATTCTACCTGTGTCTGCGTGGATTTCCTCCAGGTGCTCTGGTTTCCTCCCACAGTCCAAAGATGTGCAGGCTAGGTGGATTGGCCATGCTAAATTGCCCCATGATAACAAGGTGTGGAGCTGGATGAACACAGCAGGCCAGGCAGCATCAGAGGAGCAGAAAAGTTGACGTTTCGGGTCTGGACCCTTCAGGTCAGCTTTCCTGCTCCTCTGATGCTGCCTGGCCTGCTGCATTCATCCAGCTCCACACCTTGATATCTCAGACTCCAGCATCGGCAGTTCCTACTATCTCTAAATTGCTCCATAGTGTCCAGGGATGGGCAGGCAAGGGAGTCAGCCATGGAAAATGCAAGGTTTCATGGATAGGGTATGGGGGTGGGTCTGTGTGTGATGTTCTCTGGAGGGTCACTGTGGACTGAATGGCTTGCTTCCACACTGTAGGGATTCTACAAATCACTGGAGGACAATCAAGAGGCCCACACACAATCAGTCTGAAAGTAATAAAGACTTAAAGACGCTGTAAGCAGTTACCAAGGTGCAAGTCTATTCTGTGAGGAGAGGTGATCAACCTAGGCTTCCTTTGCTTTGTGTAAGCAGGCTAGATTCATCAACTCAGCTGCATGTGGTGCCCATTATTCTTCGATCACCTTTAGTGTAAGCAGACAGTTGCAAAAAAGCTTTTATTTTTGTTCTGAAGAATGCAATTATCAGCCAGTGTTAGACAGATGAAGCAGGATTATCATCCGCTTCCTGAACACAAGTTGAGTATTGTTATATTAATAATTAGAAATCACCTAAATACCTCAAAAACAACTGGGGAAATTGAGGGGGGTGGGGGGGGGGGGGGTGTAAATGGGTGAGCATTTGGGTTAGTATGAAGCTTTGAATTGCACACGTATTCCCACCAAGCACACACAGAGAATAAAGTGGGAATCATGGATCCCTGCCCTGATCACACCTGATTAGCCTGCTAAGCTGATAGAGATAGAAAAAAAAACCCCAAACAATAATAAATCATCAGAGCAGGAGGCAGCCTGTGTGTGCAATGCTTAATCATCCGGCAATGGACTGAACAAACAGGCGTCAGAAATTTTTTTTTCCACTGCAACCCCTGTGGCTTCAGGATGTGAATACAATTACCTTTTCAGTCTCGCTCATAGTTGTGTCAATAGACAGAGAGAGGGAGGGAGGAAGAGTGTAATTGTAATACAGCAGATTGCAAATTATGGTGACCTCTGCTCTCCATAAAGTGTCATATAATTATCAGTGTGGTTATCTACATATAATTTGTCACCCAACATACTGTTAAAAACCCAATTTAACTGTAATCGCAGCCAGTGTATGGCTTTGCTCTAACGTCAGGTCTATGCATATGAGTCCATTATCTGTGAGCACTGAATAGCTGGACTGTCACGTTACATAGATAGATCTTTTGAAAATATGGCAGTCTTGGAACGTTTTAATTTGACAATCAGGCAAGTAAAAGTGCTGATATTACAAAAATATGACTACAATTTTGTTCGAGGCTTCTTGCCACTTGACTAACTTGCAGGCACTATTCCACAAGCTAGGGGGGCTCCCAGCATTCTGACATAGTTCATCATGAACATGTCTATAACAACAACTAACATCACGTAGCACCTTCAATGTCTTAAAATGTTCCAAGATGCTTCTCAGGAGAATTATAAACCAAAACATGGCATCATGCCACACAAGGAATAATGATCAGTTGGAAGCAATAGGAACAATGTGGTTAAACTTGAAAGGGTGCAAACAAGATTTACAAGGAAGTTTCTGGGCTTGGAGGGTTTGAGAGGCTGAATAGGCTGGGGCTATTTTCGCTGGAGCGTCGGAGGCTGAGAGGTGACCTTATAGAGGTTTATAAAATCATGGG